GGCTGAGTTCCTAGGAAGCTACTAGCAGGTATTTAAAGTACTTTCCAGAAGGAACCCACAGACATTTACTTTAATGAATATATATTTGAAAGGCGGAATAGCCACACATTTGGGAAACAGTTGGACACATGGTCTGAGTTGACATTGAACCAAAGTGTCATCGTGGGGTCAAATGCAAGCAGGACCACAGGGCATGAGTGAGCTACATTAGCAGATAACCTACCATTTCACCCACCACAGTGATAGCACCCCGTCTCAGTTCATGCTTGTGACTATACTGAGGGGGTTCCTATACCTCTAGGTAATTTTTAAAAACCAGATGTTAATTTATCATTCACTTGGCCCAAAATCTGAGGGCAAGCTGAAAATGGACAGTGACTGCATGATAGCCTTGAAAGGCAGCAGTAAGAGAAAATCCTCAGGGTGGGGCTTTGAGCAGTGTTCCTGACTATCCACTTTGCATGGAAGCACATGTGGCTTGAGCTAAGAGTCAATATGGACACATGGACAGTAGCAAATGTCTAGCCACAGGCTAGGAGTTTGACAGGAAAAGGATTGAAAGGTCAGAAATAAGAGGGTCTGGGGCAGAGGCATGTGAATGGAAGTAAGAGAGTGGGAATGGCGTGCAGAAATTTTTTTACAGATTATTGTCCATCAGAGGCATCAAATGACAAAACAGACGAAGTAAATCATCAGTTGACATTAGCTAGGCTTTGTCCCTTGCCCACCCAAAATTAACATGATGGGCAGAGGGGGTGCATGATGCTACACATAATGCAGTTGCATGGACTTCATCACCGTTGATCAGCTACCTCTGTACGTAGAGTCTACCAAAAATGGAGATGAATCCCGAGTCCCTAACATAGTACTATTGTTTGAGAAGACCAACTGGCACTTGGTGGCAAGCTGACTACCTTGGGCTCCTTCCGCTCTGGGAAAGCCAGTGGTTTATTCTCATTGAAATCAACACCTATTTTGACATCTTTTTCCTGGGTATGGATGTGACTCTCCTGCCCTCAGACTTTAGCCAACACCACTGTGTGTGGGATTCTTGAGTGTCTGATCCACAGGAAGAGAACACTACACGCGGGATCCCTGGGTGGTGCAGCGGTTTGGCGCCTGCCTTTGGCCCCGGGCGTGATCCTGGAGACCCGGGATCGAATCCCACATCGGGCTCCCGGTGCATGGAGCCTGCTTCTCCCTCTGCCTGTGTCTCTGCCTCTCTCTCTCTCTCTATCATAAATAAATAAAAAATTTAAAAAAAATTTTAAAAAAAAGAACACTACACGAGCCAGCGTCCCATCCGATGTCTCACTTCAATGATGAGGTCTATCAGAGCTCAGTATCAATAGTATTCCTCAGATTTTAAATATTTTTAGACATCTTGGCTAATACCACCCATAATCCTTCACTCGGGTGGTACGTTGATTTGGAGTGGTCCTGTGTTTTTGGCAATTCCTTCTGCTAGGGAAGAGAAAGACTGCGGTGTCCAGTGTCTTCCACTGTGCCCTAGCCCACCACCTCTATGGAGCGTTGCAGAAGGGGTTCATGGCTACGCTGCCTCTTGCACGTCCTGTCCCCTCCGGAGTCACCAAGCCTGTGTGACTGTATCTAGTTCCCTCCCCAGCGCTGTGTGTTGTTCCTTGTGAACATTCTGCACTCGTTCTTGCTCTGCTCCAGCCTCCCTTTGTGTCGCGTCGGTTCCACCCAGCACTATAGTTCATCGCTATGGGCAGTTGAGGAACCTAGAGAGAACCCAACAATCTTTACCTTCATCTTGTTTTAGGAAATAACATCTGATCCTTGACCATTTAAATGAAGGAATCGAGATAGCACTGGATCACTAATATTTTGTCAATATTTATTGACTGAGTGTACTGACTCTTTCACACTTTCTCAAACCCTTACCTAAACCAAGGGCAAGTATATGCTACACACAATGTAGTATGGACACTTGCTGGAGATAATCCCACTAGGGCCAGGAACATTTCAACAGTCCCAGAGTTTTACAATGCAGAATAGAATATACAGTACTTTAAGGAGTGAACCAAATGCTCATTTACCACTCAAAAGACTATTTGGGTCAGAATATCCTGATCAAAATATATTCCTGAAACTCAGTGTTCATGGAAACTGAGTTAAGAGTAATTTTCCCTAACACCTCTGGGATTCATGCTAATCATCCCTTATGCAAGGAGTCAACCTGTAACTTGTGTAATAAAGATAAAAGTAAGTATTCTAAGGACACAGGGTGTATGGTTCTCGGAGAGCTAGAGATAATACCAAGAACCAGACTTAGACACTGTATTCCTTTGACCACATGATGCTATGAAGGGACCTTCTATATATTGATTTTAATGCCATTATTTTCAGACTAATGGAATTAGTTTAATTAAAATAACTTTATAGTAAGAATGTCCTTTCAATTGAATCAGTTACAGAATCCAACTCAAAATAAGAATGAAAGGAAAAAGGAAAACTTATTGGATGGAAATAGGATATATTCTAGGAAAAAAAAACAACACGTGTGAAAAGTTGGGATAAAACTAGGTATCAAGGACTACAAATTTAAACTGCTTGTTTGTATTAATTCATTCTTTCCGTGTAGTCTTCTAAACAGCCTCAGAGCTTTACATTTTAAAACTTTCACCAACACGGAGAACCTGTCTTGAATGTCTGTCTGGGTCTCAAGCGAAAAACTATGATGGTGCCCACCTGTGTGGTCAGCAGACCTTCCCCAAATGAAGGAGATAGAATCACAATAACAAAATGACTGTGGATATAAAAAGTGAGGGAAGAAGGGTAGGAAATAAAATGGGAGAACAATTTTTTAGAAAAATGTGAACTTAAGGAAATAAATAACATATAGAATACATCCGTGATTTACACATGTCCAGGGTGGAAATAAGCCAAGAGGAGAACTTCTCAACCAGGCACTGGGGATATTTTGGACAGGAGAACTCTGCTGTGGGGGCTGTCCTAGGCATCGTGAGACTGTTACCAGTATTCCTGGCCTCTTCCCACTACATACCAGCAGCACCTTCCTGGTCATGACTTCCACAATGTTTCCAGATTTTGCTAAACGTCCCTGGAAGGGAGGTTTCTGCCCCCAGTTAAGAACCACTGGCTTATTGCAATCATATTTCATGAAATTACCTGGAGCATATCTTGAAGAGTAAAGTTAGATGAGTAGAAGTTAGATGTACAGATATAGAAGTTAGTCATAGTGGGGACGGAATACGGTATCATGAAGAATCGATACTTTTAAATGCATCAGAATGTCTAGAAAATAATTTTTCAGTCCTAGGTTGTAACATTTCACAAATCCAAAGTCAGTCTTCTCATTTTAAAAAGGGAGCCCTGGTGGCTCAGCGGTTTAGCGCCGCCTTCAGCCCAGGGAGTGATCCTGGAGACCCAGGACCGGGACCAAGACCCACATCAGGCTCCCTGCATGGAGCCTGCCTCTCCCTCTGCCTGTGTCTCTGCTTCTCTCTCCTCTCTGTGTATTCTCATGAATAAATAAATAAAATCTTTAAAAAAAATAAAAATAAAAAGGGAAGCAATACTAACTCCGCAGAGTGACTTAGGGTCATATCATTACATAATGATGTGAAAGCACATTGGATGCTATTTAGTAGTATATAAATATCAGAAAATACTACTAAATAAAAGCACTGTAGAGAACTAACCCTTTCCTCTACCTAAGGCTTTTTCTCAGAAAAGAAGTTGACACAGAAATTATATATATGTAGGGCTTTTTTGTATAATTCTCATCTTGCCCCTTTTAAGAAGATGCTTTTAATGTAATAAAGTTAGCAAACATGGAGTTTATACCATTTGTTGTATGCTATGTTAGGTATCTTTATTCAGGTCATTTATTAGTACTACAAATGGAAAGTAGTTTATGTTGTTAATTTATGAACTTTTGCTATCATATTAAATAACCTCAAGTAAATAACCTCTTTAAATTTTTATTTTATTTTACCACATAAATTTGGAAGCAGCCAAATTGCTCAATAACAAATAATTAAACTTTTTTTTAAATTTTTTTTAAAATTTTTATTTATTTACGATAGTCACACACACAGAGAGAGAGAGGCAGAGACACAGGCAGAGGGAGAAGCAGGCTCCATGCACCGGGAGCCCGACGTGGGATTCGATCCTGGATCTCCAGGATCGCGCCCTGGGCCAAAGGCAGGCGCCAAACCGCTGCGCCACCCAGGGATCCCAATAATTAAACTTTTGACATTTATTTTTCCTTGGTGGCAACAAATTATACAGCCTAGTAAAGAATTAGAACAAGGCTTTAATAAAATATTAAACATGAAGTAGAAATAAGAATTTGTCTCCTAACAGTATGTGCCAGTACCAGTGAAACTATTTCAAACACACACAATACAAATACACATAATGATATTCAATGCTTTGATACCACATGGTCAGTATCATCACCACCATCATCACCACTATCAGTAACTATAAATAGTAATTAATTGATTTTAAATAGAAAAAAAAATAACAATCATAATAGTGATGACAAAAACAAGAAAACCAAAGGTTATTAAATGGTTATCTTAAGTTGGAATGGTTCTATGCACTTACATGTATAATCTTAATACTTAAGAAACTTATTAACCCTCTTAAGAAATATTTAAAACACAGAGATAGAAACATTTACACAATGGGAATTCCTTCCTTTATAAGGATAACACAGTTAAATCTTAAGACTCATTAGACTGGTCAAATCTTTTGTAGTATTTCTATCATCACGTCTTTACCTATTCTTAGTGTCTAAGAGCTTGCCTTATAATAATTACTATAAAATACAAGTTTTTTGTTTGTTTCTATGTTTTTCAAATTTAAATTTGTTGAAGAAGAAAGAGAATAAAAGGTATTCCAGTAGCGGTTTATATATATTCTTTTTTGTTAAATCTCAGTATTTTATTTTTTGCTTATATTGTTTTTTGTATTATGCTTTTGGCCTATGATGGTGGTAAATCTTACTGCTCCTCCACCTTGTCCTCCTCATCCTCCTCCTCCTCGTCCTCCTCTTCCTCTTCTTTATCTCCTTCCTTTTCCTTCACTTCCTCTTTCTTCTTTTCCTTGTCTTCTTCCTTCACCTCCTGTAACTTTTCTGGCTGTACCTCAACTACTTCAGAGGCAAACATTATCTCTTCTTCCAACAATATATTTGGAAACCGAGACTGTATTATTAAAACAACTGTGATACATATTGTAAAACACAGCATTCTCAGAAAGAAAATAAATAAGCACAGTGGATCACACACAATTGGCCGGGGAACTTCCCATCTGGGGTACCAAAATCGATAATCTGTAAATAAAGAAGCAGGACTGAAAGCTGGATTTCACATAAAGTAGTTAAGTTGTCCAAGAAATAAAGGACAGCAATACATACATACGGATTGGTCACGATCTGCGTTACCTAAAAAGAAAAAGAAAGACCATAAGGAATTACGTGAAATTCCTTCTTTCTCTAGAGATAAGATTATTTTTCTTTTTTTTTTAATTTTTATTTATTTATGATAGTCACACACACAGAGAGAGAGGCAGAGACACAGGCAGAGGGAGAAGCAGGCTCCATGCACCGGGAGCCCGACGTGGAACTCGATCCCGGGTCTCCAGGATCGCGCCCTGGGCCAAAGGCAGGCGCCAAACCGCTGCGCCACCCAGGGATCCCATAAGATTATTTTTCTAAAAATAATGACAGCATTCTCCCGGTCCTCAGGTATCCTGCTGCCATATTTGATGGGCCCCTTGCAACCAGTAGCCCATCATAAAATACAGTATATTCTCTTTCAGTAAAAGTCAGCCTCGTCTGCTAGAGAACACAGAAATATAGGAACGAGGACATGTTGATCCCATTACTAAGTCACCTTGTAGGACGCACTTCACTTCTGTCCGTTAAAGATTCTTTCCAGCTTCAATATCCTAGGGTCTTATAGCATCTCTTACTTACATCTCTCTTCTTACCAGATCACTCCAAATTAATATTCTGATTTACCTCACTTTACTCTTTAATTCTTATTTTCAGGAGCTTTTACTTGCCCTTCACTTCCTAGAGGGCAAAGCTAAGTCTGGAGCCTGGTCCTGTTCCTGCTTTCCAGCCCGATGCTATCCTAATACCTGCCAGGAAATACATTTCCTTTCCTCCACGTGCTGGGTGGGGAAGATCAGACCATCCTCCCCAGTGCAGTCAGGAGGGAGGCCAGAGGACAAATGCGTCCTTACCCACAGGGAACCCCACGGCAACCAGAGGCTTTGTCTCGCGAGAAAATTCAGAGGTCACTCTTCAGACCATGCTAGAGGTGAACTGACCTGTTGGATCTTTGAGGATATTTGAGTCTTTTGTGCCTGGTCTTATTTTACTTCATATTTTATGCAATGATTTCTACTTTAGCCCTCCTTAAAAAAAAAAAAAAAACTTTTACCTCATAGTCTGCATTTTCTCTACTTCATTCCATGTATGTGTATCAACTTAGTTGAGCAATGATGTAAATAGCAAGTTTCTTCTTTGTGTTTTCCTTCATTTGTCATCACCATTCTTCACTGATTACACTCTTCTTTTACTTTTGCACTTGATTGGATATTTAAGTACATTTAAATATACTTACATCTCTACTGTTTATCAGCTTTCAATATTTTTTGGCCCCTGGCTATGGAAATTAAGCACATTTCTCTCTCTCTTTCTTCTTTTCCCCAATTTTATTAATTATATCATTTACATATTGCTAAAATTTATTATATTTACATTTTGTTTTGTAATTGTAGCCTTCAGAAGTTAGTCTTTGTCTATTAAGTCTCAATGCTTATGGATAGTTTTTTTCAGAGCAGTTTTTCATTTTCCATTCATCTCTTCTTTTTGGTGAAAGCCAACCTCTTGCTTTGTGAGAATTATGTGCCACAAATTTGTGTTTCCACAATATTCGCCTATCTGCTTGTACTTGAATAATAAGTTTGGCTGAATTTACATAAGTATTAAGGACAATATGGGAATTACTCCACTATCTCTTGACACTGACTGTTATTGTGGAAAAGTCTGACACCAGCCAAAGTGTGCAGGACTGCCAACTACCCACACAGCACTCTACCCCACTGGTGTCACGTTGATTCTGCGTTGCAGACCTGAAGCCGGAGCGAATTCCCTTTCTGTGAATCCCTTCCTCTGAATAGCTTCAAGTTAGAGTTTGCCAAAAACAGGAATGCAAGTGAAATTTGGGAGATTTAAGAGAAGTGGAAACCATTATTCTTCAGGGGTGAGTGGTCGCTAGACACAGACAGAGGGGCAGAGACACAGGCAGAGGGAGAAGCAGGCTCCCTGCGGGGACATCCCCCCTCCCCCCGCCCCATGTGGGACAATCCTCGGGACCCCAGGGTCACAACCAGAGCCAAAAGCAGACGCTCAACCACGGAGCCCCCCAGGAGTCCCTGGTATGGATATTTTTATGTGTATTTTCTTTATCTTACTGCATAGAAGATCTGTGCATTTGTCAAATCTGCTACATTGAGTACAAATTATTCCTTGTTTATAAGGCCTTCTTGACAGAGATCCTCTATAAAAAAGCAAAAAACAGAAATTTTTAGTTAGGTTATAAAGGTGATTTAACTAAGAAAATGGACTCTAGGAAGTACTGATATTAGAGATATAATCTTCTCCTTTAATCCCCAAAGAAAATAGTCTCTTCTGAAATGAATTCCCATGTCCTTGAAACAAAGTACTCTGATTTAAATGAATGAGTTTTAAAGCTACTTTCATTTTAGTTTGTAGCAAAATTTTCCTTCCACAATGATGTTACAGAATGTTTTATAATTAATTGCCTTCTCCTTGGTACAAATGTATTAAAAGTTCTAGAGAAATGATATATTAATTTTCTGAAGACTATGCAAAATCCTGAAATGCCTATTGTCCCAAAGACCCAGCTGCATGACTTACTAGAGGTCTGCCCTAAAAATATGTAAATAGGAAAACAAGCAAATAAATTTAAATGGGATTTTACAAAATTCGTTTAATCTGTTGTACAAAACAGAAGAAAGAAGTGAGAAATTATTACATCAATTGCCCAGAGCTACGTAAGAAAAAAAAGGCCAAAGTAGATACAAATTGGGAAGCTTATATGAAGGATTTAGGTTAAGGAAGAAGGAAAACAAACAGGGAAATTATAATTTTGAGTGAAAAAAGGGTCATTAATCCCGGTCATTTAAATAGGAATGCTGATTTGCTCAGTGTGTAGTTGGAAACTCTAAAAACTAATGTTAGGTACATAAACCCCTGGTTAGGTCACTCTGGGCCATTTGGAAGAAGGGTGAACACTAAGAAATAAATATTCACAAACTTGCATATCAAATTTCTGAGTCATATTGTATCTAGAATGACTTTGGAAAAGCAAAAAAAAATTATCTATATCAAAATAAATAAATACACATCACGCGAGAATACAATGGGTCCTCTTTTCCAAAGATTTGAATTTCATATCACTATTTATATCATATAGTCAGAAATGCCAGACTAATACTCTCATGCACACCGATCTTCCTCTTGTTCTGAGTCTGTAAGAAGTTTAACCTAAATGGGGCCCCTGGGGGGCTCAGTGGCTGAGCACCTGCCTTCAGCTCAGGGCGTGACCCTGGGTCCTGGGGGATCGAGTCCCCCGCCGGGCTCCCTGCAGGGAGCCTGCTTCTCCCTCTGCCTGTGTCTCTGCCTGTATCTCTGCCTCTCTCTGTGTCTCTCATGAATAAATAACATCTTTTAAAAAAAAGTTTAACCTAGGGATCCCTGCGGGGCGCAGCGGTTTGGCGCCTGCCTTTAGCCCAGGGCATGATCCTGGAGACCCGGGATCGAGTCCCACGTCAGGCTCCCGGTGCATGGGGCCTGCTTCTCCCTCTGCCTATGTCTCTGCCTCTCTCTCTCTCTGTGACTATCATAAATAAATAAAAAAAGAAAATTAAAAAAAAAGTTTAACCTAAATCAAGTTAACTCTGAATCTACAGTACAATTCCACACCTGTAATTGGAATTATTGGGCTGGATGAGGAGAAAACAACAGTTAAGCACCTATAACCAGCAACGTCCATTGACATTTCACAGCTGCCCTGGCAGTACCTGAAGACACAGACAAATTTCTCTATTTTTAGAGAAATAGGCATTTTAGGCATTTGCTTTTTCCAAGAAGCATCCCAGTGGTTTGCTAAGACCAAGTCAAGAGTGAACAGTCCTCTAGAACATTCTCTAGACACATCTCTGTCCATACCTTCAGTGTATTACCACCTGGAGGACGTGTGTCCAGGTCCTGGATAAGGATGTGTTACCTGGTAGGCCTTGTGGGCAACTATACCCATGTCCAAACCCAAGTCCATTAGAAGACCATTATTCACATTTTACAATAGAGCTATACTGTTTCAGACAGAACACAATCCCGGTGGTGACCAAAACTGTCTCTGCCTACGCTAGACTCATACCTGCCACCAGCTTGCTCGTGAAGGAGGTAATCCAGCTCCATGGATTGACAATCTGTAGGCAAATTCTTCTTTTCAAAGTTTTCCCTGTTCAAACCCATCTCGTCTAAACATTGTCCAAAGAACAAGGGCAGAGCACATCAGATAGATGCTCTGATAGATCTTCTTTCCCATCATCAATATTTATTGAGCATTTACAGTGTACTAGCAAAATAGAACATATAGAAAACATTGTCCCTGCTTTTGAGGAGCTTACACTCTAAAAGAAAATAAATTACATCTCTTTTAAAATGGTATTTTTGTTTGGTGTTTTCTGCAAGGTACTGAGGAAACAGTCTGTAGGGTGAGCTTTGGGAATAACTTAGCCCCATCATTATTTAAAGAGAGGAAGAGGAAGGATTTTAAAGGCAGACAATGACAGACCATTCAGGAAGGGTAGGGCTCCATGTCACACACCCAGAATAACCAGAGCACCTGAAGCAGCTCCCTGCACTGTCACTACTTCCATATACCATTGAGAAAAACTACAGCACTGGCTTCTGGCTCATGTCCGAACATCTGTAGGTTTCCCAAGAAGACTTAAAGATCTATCCTAGTGGGCTGGAGAAAAATACAATGTGGTGAGCATCAAGGAAGATTATCTTTTAACAATCCTACCTGGCTCCCCGTCTGATACAGCTCCTGTATCTGTCTTTGCTAAAACCCTATGACTACTTCCTGGACCTATTTAATGTCAAGGAAAGCATGAATCCTGTTTTGTTTTGTTTTGTTTTGTTTTGCTTCAAATTATCCCTGTATTTGCAAAGCACCTTACATTAAAAAAATTTTTTTTAAAGATTGATGTCTTTATTTTAGAGAGAACACGAGCTGGGGGAGGGGAGAGGGAAAGGGAGAGAATCTCCAACAGACTCCCCACTGAGCACAGCAACCGACACAGGGCCCCTGACCCAGAGATCGTGACCTGAGTGGAAACCAAGAGTTGGATACTTAACTAAGACACTGAGGTGCCCCAAAGCTACCTTATTTTATATTGCTTTTGGTAAAACTCAGTCACATCTCCTTCCTTCACTTTCACATCTTGCACCTATAGGTCTAGGGACCACAGTTAAACACCAGTAAAGCTCCTTTGAGATGGATATTATTTAGCTGCACCATCTTCTAATTCTCCCCAAGATACCATCTTCCTTCATTTTTTTCCTTTTTTTTTAATAACGATTTTATTTATTTATTCATGAGAGACACAGAGAGAGAGACCAGCAGAGACACAGGCAGAGGGAGAAGCAGGCTCCATGCAGGGAGCCGGACGTGGAACTTGATCCCGGGTCTCCAGGATCAGACCCTGGGCTGAAGGCGGTGCTAAACTGCTGAGCCACCTGGGCTGCCCAAAATATTTATTTATTTTAGAGAGTGAGAGAGCATGTGTGCAGGTGACGGGAGAGGCAGAGGGAGGGAATCTTCAAGCAGACCCCTCGCTGAGCATGGACCCCAATGTGAGGCTGGATCCCATGACACGGAGGTCATGATCCCAGTTGAAATCAAGATCCTGACCCTTAAGGACTGAACCACCCAGCTGTCCCTCCTCTCTCCCATTACTTAATAAATGACCTGCAAATCCTGTTATTCATTGCCTTCTGAAAATGTCATATATTTTTCTGATCTCAATCCAGATATCCTTTGTTGATGTTAAGTAAAAGCAGTGCATGTACAATACTTTAAGGAGATGGCGGAAAGGAGGAAGCAGAAAGGGGCAACCTTAAAGGGGAAAAATGTCTCCATCCTCCACTTTCCCTCTGTCTCCCCAAAGATAGCTTCTGTTTAACAGTTCATGATTTCTACCAGAAGCAAGTTTTTTTTTTTTTAATAAAAGTTTCTCAGTACTTCTCTATATGATAGACTCCTAGCTGTCAAGCTAAATATCTCTAAAAATACAGGAATAACAGTATTTTAGCTTGGTACATTGATGGCTAGCCTTGCTGCGTTTCCCAACTTCCCTTGCAACTTCCAAGTGGCCACGTGATCTGTTGTCCATCGGAAACAGCAGTTTATGCACATCACTTCCCACTTTAAGAGATGGCCATGCGCCCACATGTTTCTCTTCCCTGACTGTGAGCCTAAGCTAGCCCTTACCTGCCACCTGGACTTGATCTGCGGACAAAGATCCTGCCTCCCAGGAGTGGGGAGGCAGCGAGAAGGGTCCCTGAATGAACAGTGGTGCAGAGCTACCCACCTCACTGGACTCTTACTGACTCCACTTCTCTCTTACTGAATCACTCGATTTTCTGGTAGCACTAGCTGCTATAACAAAAAGACCCAATCTTACTTATTATTGTTCTGCATCTTACTTTTTCATCTTAACAAGTGAGACTGGTACATAAAGACCAGTATTTTTCATGGTTACACAATAATGCATTGTAAATTGATTGCTCAGTCTGCTATTACTGGAGTCATTAGTTTTTTTATTTATTTTATTTTTATTTTTTTTATGATAGTCACACACACACACAGAGAGAGAGAGAGAGGCAGAGACATAGGCAGAGGGAGAAGCAGGCTCCATGCACTGGGAGCCCGATGTGGGATTCGATCCCAGGTCTCCAGGATCGCACCCTGGGCCAAAGGCAGGCGCCAAACCGCTGCACCACCCAGGGATCCCTCATTAGTTTTTTTTTTTTTAATTTGTTTCATGCTATTAAAACATGCTAAGATGGGTATTCTCGTATATATATCTTGGCCAGTTTTCATGAAGATATTAATAAGATATAATTCTGATAAGGAGATTACAAGATCAAAAGATAAGTATAAATTTTGTTATTCTGTCGTATTCAGGAAAATTGTACCAATTTATTGCCCCATGGCATGTGCAGAGTATCAGTTATGCTTTTCTATGCTTGTCTCAGACGGATGAGTGAAAAATAACTTATTTTTGTTTTTACTTGAATTACTTCAATTATGAGATTGAATATCTCTTCATAGGATTAATGACTTTTTTCTCTTCAGTAAATGACGTCTTCATATCTTTTGCAAATTATTCTTTTGGGTTGTTTCTCTTTTTCTTTATTATTTGTATGAATTCTTTGTAAATTAAGGAGATGAACTCTGTCATATATTCCACAAATATATTTTCCAGTATATTATTTTTTCTTTGGCTATATCTATGGTATTTCTTTAGCCACAAATTCATTTTAAATTTTTATATAATCAAGTGAATATATACTTCTTGATTTTTATGTTCTGCTTGGCGAAGCAACTTAAAATCAACAAACACTGGTATTTCCTTTGCTCAGAAAATAACATGGTCTTTGCTTAGATTCTGCTTCTCTGGCTATTGTTTCAAGAATTCCCTCAGAGAGAAAACTAAAGTAAATATAGGGTTCTCAGTAAGTCCTTTTCTATTTGCAAAGATCACAGCTCTGCATTGGTTATTTTGTAATGACTAAAAGCAATATTCTTCTACGACCCAGCAATTGCACTGTTAGGGATTTACCCCACAGATTCAGATGCAATGAAACGCCGGGACACCTGCACCCCGATGTTTCTAGCAGCCATGTCCACAATAGCCAAACTGTGGAAGGAGCCTCGGTGCCCATCGAAAGATGAATGGATAAAGAAGATGTGGTTTATGTATACAATGGAATATTACTCAGCCATTAGAAACGACAAATACCCACCATTTGCTTCAACGTGGATGGAACTGGAGGGTATTATGCTGAGTGAAGTAAATCAATCGGAGAAGGACAAACAGTGTATGTTCTCATTCATTTGGGGAATATGAATAATAGTGAAAGGGAATATAAGGGAAGGGAGAAGAAATGTGTGGGAAATATCAGAAAGGGAGACAGAGCATAAAGACTTCTAACTCTGGGAAATGAACTAGGGGTGGTGGAGGGGGAGGAGGGCGGGAGGTGGGGGTGAATGGGTGACGGGCACTGAGGGGGACACTTGACGGGATGAGCACTGGGTGTTATTCTGTATGTTGGTAAGCTGAACACCAATACAAATTAATTTATTAAAAAAAATAAATAAAGTGTTGTGGTGCGAAAATGCAAAAAAAAAAAAAAAAGCAATATTCTTATATGTTTTGCCTGGTCTTTATAGTCATTTTCATCAGGAGACTAATTCTTATACTAGATTACATAATATCCAAAAGCAAAGTGGATCAAATATTTAAAAGTTAAAAACATAAAGAATTACTGGAAAAAAATGTTGAATAATAATACTTTGAGAAGCCTTGCTTGAGGATGACACACACTTCAAAACCTATGGAAAAAAAATACTGGTACTTTTTCTAATAACAAAATAATTCTTTTTGCAAAATTATAAATAAAGTCAAAGTTAAACATCAAACTGGGAAAATATTTATAAATGACATTGCATGAAATAATTAATTTTCTTGCTACCTGAACACTCTTACAATTACAAAAAAAAAAAAATCCAACAACTTAAGAGAAAAATCGTGAATGTATAGAAACAGGTCCCAGAAAATGAAATCCATTTTTTGAAACTTACAAAACGATATCTAAACTCATGTAAAATAGGAGATGAAAATTAAAAATATACTGAACTCATAGCAGAATGTTTGAAAATATATTATGTTAGCAAGAGAACTGAAAAGCAATCATATGAGAGGTCATATGTTAATGTAAAGAATTGTTATTAGAAAAGTAGTATAACTAAGGGGCACCCGGGTTGTGCAGTTGATTAAGCCTCCAACTCTTGGTTTCAGCTCAGGTCATGATCTCAGGATGGTGGGATGGAGCCCTCCATCAGGCTCTGCGCTCAGTACCAAGTCTGCAAGAGTTTCTCTCTCCCTCTCCCTCTGCCCTCACCTCCCCACAACACACTCTATAAAAAATAGAGTATAAAAATAAATAAATGTTTAAAAAAAACAGTATGACTAAGATGAATAGATAGTACTAGCTATCCAAATTAAAAGTATATATCCTCTTTAACCTAGTAATTCCATGACTATAAGATCATGTTAGTATGATACTAACTCATGTGAGAACCACAGGTCTACCTGGATAATTATTACTTGAGATAAAGCTAATAAAATATTCTAAATGTACATGAAAAGGAGAGCACTGTTTATTATTTTATTTTTAATTTTTTTAAAGATTTATTTTATTTTATAGAGAAAGAAAGAGAGCATGGGGAGAGGGGCAGAAAGAGAAGAAGAAACCGCTGAACCACCCAGGGATCCCCTTAAAGTGTTCTTTTCAAAACAGAGATAAGATTATGTCACTCACTTGCTTTAGAACTTTCCATTGGCTTGGCCACTACTTGAAATAAATTCCAAAGTCTTAACACGGCCTATAGTATGTTGTTTGGTGAGGCTGTCGCCTAATTTTCTACCTCAGCTCCTACCTCTAACCAGTTATTCATTTCTTAAACATGCTTAACGCATTCTAAGCTCAAAGGTTTTATACATGCTCTTCTATCTGAAATATTTAGTCATTATCACACCAAATGCCGCTTTCTCTTACAACTACCCTATCTCTATTCCATACTTGTTATTCCCAATATGCCTATCTTGCTTTAAGTATTATAGCATATTTTGTTACCTACTTAAATATTATTTGTTTATTTATTTATTGTTTGTCTCCCTTCCAAGACTACAAACTAAATAGGGTCACCCATTTTTGGTCTTGTTGGTAGACATAGATCAATGCCTTGTACAGAGTTGCTGAGTGCATAAATGAAGATAGTGCCCCAGAGGAACCTCCTTCCTCTCTTACATCAGTACTAGGTTCTCTGAATTTTCAATACCAGTCAACAGTTAACTTTGAAAAGTTCAATACAAAGGTATTGTTCCAATGCTTTCAGTTTGTAGGAATGAAAGGAGGCCTAAAAAGTTTTATGTCTACATCCTGAACTTGTTTTGCATGACTACGTTCAAGGTCACAAAACTTCTATCATGGAAAGGATTTCTGAGGCTAATTTGATTGACATCATAGTTCTCTTATTTTCCCTATCCAGAGGAATACAATCAGTAATCAGTAATCGATGGGATTTGTTTTTTCTTTGTGGTTTAGTCCCAGACCATTTTATTTGGCAGAAATTCTTAATCCTAGTGTGTAGTCAATTTTTTACTGTTTTCCTGACATGGTGATTAGGATATTTTCTCATTTGGTTGGACATTTTTAAAAAATATTTTATTTATTTATTCATGAGAGACAGAGACACACCAGAGGGAGAAGCAGGCTCCATGTTGGGAGCCCGACGCGGGACTCGATCCCAGGACTCCAAGATCACGCCCTGGACCAAAGGCAGAAGCTCAATCGCTGAGCAACCCTGGCATCCCTGGTTGGACATTTTAATAATATTACTGACAGTATCATCTTGACCTATAAGAAAACTTCAGACTTTCCAACAAAACTCTTCAGAGATGGAGGCTATTCTGGAAGGTAGTTATTTCCTGTCATAGGAAGGTATTCAGGTGTAAGGTAAATAATCACATGGTAAGTCAGTGGAAAGAATTCAAGTTTCTTCAAAAGAAGACTCCTGAAGTACTCTTGCCAATTTGAGATATTTGGATTTTTTATATGAGACTAGCCTCAAATAGTAACACAACTTGCAAAGGATGGTCAATTAAGTGTCTTTCAGTTACAAAGCTGATGCACTCTTGAAACAACTCTCACAACATACATTTCAACACATCTAACCTTATTTTTCTTTGACTTTTATTATAAATATGGAAATAAACTATTTTGGAAAATAATTTAAATTCTATGCTACTTAGGCTAGATATTGTGAAATGACACTAAAGTTAAAATTCTTTTAGGAAGTAATACTTGGCTAGTTTGTATGTTAAATCAATATACCCAATAGAACTGAAAATACTTCAATTTAAAATCCTTAATATCTTATATTTAATTCTTTTACAGTTCACAAAGGCTACATTGAAAGACTATATAGAAGACTATATTGAAAGTTAGGAAAAGTTAACCTTGAAAAATTCCCAATTTATTTTTACATTCTTTTTAAAATTTAAGGTAACTTACCCTGGTGCATAGTTGCATATGAAAATTACTGCATATCTAATATGTCCAATCTTTGTACATGGAGTTACGGCACAACCAATTTTGTAAGATGTGTCCCAAACAACCTAAAATACAATTTTCCAAAAAACCCCAAATTTGATTCTAAACATTTATTCAGTCATACTATAAACTATAATATATTCAATTCACAAAGAAACTTTAACCAAACAATTTAAGGAATATGAAGTATTCTTTATTTGGATGCAAGTAGAGATATGTCACAGATTTCGGGAAGCATTTCCCAAATTGTATTTAGAGAAATATTTGGCAGGTTCTGCCTTAGGATAAAGAGTTTGAGAAACACTGATCCAAAGAATTTTGGAGCCAAAGGAAGGCACACTTGCTGAATCAGTTTCCAAACTCCTGTTGAAGCTGAGAGCTCTAGGTTATTGGCAGAGAGGAAGAGGGAAAAGAAAGGAGAAAAAGTTTTAGAAGCCTGGAAGTTGTAAGTAGAAAGGAGAAAAATGACATCAAAATTATAAAAGAGAAGGATAAGCAATACAAAAATAAAGGTAGTTGAATGCAAGTAGCATTTTTCTTTTTTGTTGAGGAAATTCCATTATAAAATAAAATAAGAGTCTGGACCTGAAATTTAAAAAAAAATGAATAAAAAAGGTGGTTTCTATAAAAAGAAAAACAGGTCTTGAATTGGAGTGGCAATATAATAATCATTAAAGATATTCCAGAAAATTCTCTGTATGGCTTTAGTATTTCTAATACTTCCACATAAAACAGTACTTGTATTGTCTTGTTGACATCTGTGGAAGAGAAAAACAGTTTCTGTTTTCCTTTTCTCTTTATCCCAACCTTCAGTAGTTTTAAAAGTGTGATTCTTAAAGAAATAGAGTGATACAGTAAAAGAATAGAGAATAGAATGTCTACAACAGTTGAAATGGAGTTAAGCAGGTCAAATATGGGAAAACAAAAAGGTCTAGGATACCAAAATTAAAGAGTAAAAATTACCAGAGGAATCGATCATGAAGTAGACTTGGTTAATTTACTGGGATTATTAAAATCATATTCAGTAGACTTGGTTAATTTACTGGGATTATTAAAATCATATTAAGGAATCTGGCTTTGATATGAGTAAAACAATGGAGACCCACTATAACTTTCTAGAAGAACTAATCAAATATCTTGAAACACAACTCATTCAATGGAATTTGTTTTTTTAATTTTTTTAAATTTATTTATGAGAGAGAGAGAGAGAGAGAGAGAGAGAGAGAGAGAGAGAGAGGCAGAGACACAGGCAGAGGGAGAAGCAGGCTCCATGCACTGGGAGCCCGACGTGGAACTCGATCCCGGGTCTCCAGGATCGCGCCCTGGGCCAAAGGCAGGCGCCAAACCGCTGCGCCACCCAGGGATCCCCATTCAATGGAATTTGAACACAAGATTTCAGTATGAAAAAGATCACAAGATTTTAAGTTCTGCATAAAATATGACATCAGAGTCTATTGATTGAAAAATAATCATCTCTTAAATCAGCTTGGAAGTTCATCAAATAATTTCTTGATCCTGATAACAAGTATTTATAGAAGACCAAAATGCTTTGTTCTTGCCGTGAATAAGACAAGCTCTCTGTACCAGTGGAGTATCATATATAAATAGGTGATTATAAATAATATGTGAAATAATAAGTGTATGTAGAGCAAATAACAAGTGGCTCAGTATTGTTGGAGTATAAAGTGTAAAGGTGGATTGTTAGGAGACAGGAAAATAACGCTATTAATTTTCACTTAAAATGTTTTAATCAGTTATATCATAGTATGTGTACTAATCTGTGCAAAAAAATATCAAATCTTTTACTTATGTTTATAATTTAAAAATAATTTTTATTTTCTGGTTTCTTCCTTTTCCAGAATGTGTTACTTTTAGAATAGCACCTATCATTTCTGGGTATAGAGATGAAATTTATTACATTTATTTACTTTAAAGATTTTATTTATTTATTCATGAGAGACACAGAGAGAGGCAGAGACACAGGCAGAGGGAGAAGCAGGCTCCATGCAGGGAGCCCGATGCGGACTCAATCCCAGGACCCCAGGATCACGAACTGAGCCGAAAGCAGATGCTCTACTCCTGAGCCAGCCAGAGGCCCTGAGATTTATTACATTTAAAGGAATGTTTTAACTGTATGCCTCATGTAATACACGGAATCATAGACATTTTGAAGATCTAGGACTGATTAGAATTTTGATTCCATTAGAGGTAATAACTTTGCCATTTAAATTTATTTATAATATTGAAACATAATAAAAAGCTTGGTAGTAAAATAATTAAGGAGTCTATTGAATTAATATAAATATTAGATACCTGTTTATAATGAGAACAGTCACTAGAGCAACTGTCATTTTCAAAATGGTACTTTTTTCTCTCTTCATACCAACTTCTGATAGCAATACTTGCAGTGAATTCATTTTCAGGTCCAATCCATATATTTTCACCAATACCATTAAATTTAGGATGGGCCATTTTTAGTTCATCTAAATGAGTATTATGTTCAGGCACACATTTTTTCCCCCATGCTCTAGCAGTCCGTGACAAAGCTACATCCCAAGTCTGAAAAAAAGAATGCAAAAAGCAAAGAAAACAAATTAATAATAAGGTTTTTTTTTTCTGAACTATTTTCCTTGAGTTCTTATTTGATTTAAGGAAAACAATTCTAACTTTGTGCTTATGGGTCTTGTTTGTGGAATTTCCATGGGAGAAAATGTTTTTGATTAATCATAAATGAAGTAACTATTTCCTGAGGCAAAGGACTATCTATATAATTGTAATTTAAAAATCAGATTGCTGGATGATGCAAATGGTTATAATACTCTTACATGTAGTCTTCAGAATATACACTTTTAATCTTATTCCTTTTATACAGAGTAATACAATAATTTAAAATATTCATCTAAAACCGCTTATTGAATACTAAGTATATGTAAACTATTGTAATGTGGGGAATAAAATGCAAAGTCATGAATAAATTTTGTCTTCTATAGTTTATAAATATAAAATTTTAATACATAGTGGTACTTGGTAAATACTATAAAAGAGGCACATGTAAAGTTCTATGGATAGTCTCAGAAATGTAAAAAAAAAAAAAAATCACAAGATACTGTTCCCTGACTAGCTATCTGGAAATATCCAGAAAAGGGTAATTTTATCATTATTTAGATTCATTAAGTTCACTGTTTACTTAAGGACAAGAACAAAAATACACATAGATAAATCAGCAAAATAGTTGTAAAATCAACATGCTTTGTACATGTTACAGTGTATCTGAAAACCAATACTAAGATTTTCTTGGCATTTTCTCAATTTCATAGATTACACATAATTATAGAATATTGGAAAATAAATATCCCTTTAGAATACTAATCGTTAAAAAAAATCACTTTTGTATACATGTCTCTCTCTATACACATACAAACAAGACCTAAATGGGCATGTTTTAGGTCGGGATTGCATGATTCAGTCTTTGCAGCCCTGCAATCAGACCACACACGAGGTGGTCGGCCTCCACTTGGCAGTTTTCCCCTGGAGACTGTCCATTCGGCCCAGACTTCACAAGGTCAACAGCAGCATTCAGGGGCAGCGCTTAGTAAACGTCCCAGCCCAGCCTCAACGACCTTTACGTGGATTTAGACCCACGCGGAAAGCGCGGTCCCGGCGATCCATCAGCCTCAGGGAAGCAGCCCCGGGGTCGTGGGGCCGCGGGGGTGGGGGGGGGCGCGAGCTGGACGTGGTTCTGCCTTAGAGCCTCGCCCCGGGGCCCAGGTTAGAGCCTCGCCCGGAGCCAAGTTAGAGCCTCGCCCCGGAGCCAAGTTAGAGCCTCGCCCCGGAGCCCAAGTTAGAGCCTCACCACGAAGCACTAAGTTAGAGCCTCACCATGAAGCGCAAGTTAGCGCCTCGGGGGAGGACGTTGCCCCGGAGCTCATTGTGCAGGTTCACGTACTCATTGATAAAGTATACGTCCTCTTCGTGAGGCAGCTTCGCGTCCAGACGGGAAGGCAGCAGCAGCAGCCCCAGCGCCCAGAGCCACACGGTCAGGAGGCCCCCTCGCCTCGGCAGCAGCCATCGGCCGCGCCACCCCCACGGCGGGGGCCTCGGGGCCTCCATGGTCGCTGGGCGAGCAGGCCACTGCGCATGTGCCCGGGCCGCCTCTGCCCTTGCGCCTGCCCACGGGCCCCACGACGCATGCGCTCGCCGGGTTCTGTCGGAGGAGCCGAGGGAGCGGCGGAAACGGAAGTCACGGTGTCGGTGACCGGGTGTGCAGCGCTGTGTCTGCAGAGCTGCGTGAGGGGGGCGGGGAGGCCGGGTGTGCAGAGCTGGGAGAGGGAGGCGGGGGTGTGCAGGCCTACAAGAGAGGTAAGGGACTGCAGGCCTTTCACTCATGTAGGTATCTATTATCCCGAGTTGACTTCTGGCACCACATGACGTGTCATCATTTGTCGATGAGCCACTGGTACCCTGGATGCCAACTGCTGCATAAGGAACGTGCCTGAGGAACCTGTGAATCCCGCAGGGGTGAGCGGAGCGTCATTCCTCTGTGATATGGATAAAAGTTCAGTTGATCTTATTCTTTTCTTCCCTCTTGAGTTGAAAATTTAGTGTAGGACGCATCCTTTATTATCCTCATGAACAAAAGTATTTCCCCTTTAATTTGGGCTTCCTCCCTGAGATTTTCTCTCAGTGTTTTAATAATCTTTTGTGAGGAACCATAGAATAAATGGAAGAGTGGGAGGCTCAGCTTTTAGAATCATCAAATTCTGGTAAGATTAAAGTAGTTCTCTTTCACCTCATCAGCACTGTATAGATAGCTTGGATAGCAGAATTCGTCATCCCCGGCGACTTGTCTTATTCACGGTCTCATCTAGGTAAGAATTAGGTTTTTGGGTTTTTTGTTTTTTGTTTTTTTAATTTCTGTCAGGCAAAGTGGCTAATGTCTTAGTGGATTTTGGTTTGGTCTTTTTACCTTCAAACATTTTGCTAAAGAAAACTTACCATCAGAAATGCGAGTCCATCAAATGCATTACCATCAAGAAATGCACAAAGTAAAAGCACATGGTCGTTTTGGGGTACATGTTCACATATAACATTGTGCTTATTAGCATTAAAGGGGTATTTGAAATCACTGACACTGGGATAGAATTTTGCGACAAAGAAAGCATTGCAACTGGTTGGTTAAAATATTTTTTTTAAAAAGTGCTTGAAAAAATCATGGGGCGCCTGGGTGGCTCAGTCAGTTCACCTGCCTTGGGCTCAGGTCGTGAGCTCAAGGATCCTGGGATAGAGCCTGGAGTGGGGGCTCCCTGCTGTGGGGCAGTCTGCTTCTCCCTCTTTCTCCCCCACCTCCCCCTCCCACTCTTTCAAATGAAATATTTTTTAAAATATTATGAGGTATAGAGGCACTTGGGTGGCTCAGTGGATTAAGCCTCTGAGTCTTGGTTTTTGCTCAGGTCATGATCTCAGGTGGTGAAATCTAGCCTCACCTGGAGCTCCCTGCTCAGTGGGGAGTCAGCTTGAGATTCTCTTCCTCTCCCTCTCCCCCTCCTAGCTTGTGCTCCCACCCTTTCTCTCTAAAATAAATCAATAAATCTTCAAAAAAAATTATGTACACAATTGAAAGCAGTAGAGCTCACAAGATAATTTCATTCATGACATTAGACTTTTAATAAATACTTATTACCAGGCAATGTGTTAGATAGTTGAGAGAGACCTAGACTCTGCTTCCAAATAGCCTGTAGTTTAGAGAACTAGCAAACTGCTAACTCTTGTACCATGTGATAAAAACAACCAAAATGCTATTGAACATGTATGGGACAGTGAAAACCCCTTTTAAGGACCATGGAAGCCTTTCTAGAGAATGTGACCTCAAGAAAGTGAAGCGTACAGGTGACAGAGCAGACTCTAAACAAAAAAGAAAAAAGGATGTGAATATGCCAGGAGATCTGAAAAGGTTAAAGGTGTTTTAGCACCAGCAGAGCATATTATAGGGATGGTGGTGGCAAGTGGTATAAGATGGAATTCCTTTATTATGTTTGTACTGTTAGATTCTGAAAATTGCTGTATCAAAGCACAAGGTAAATAGTATAATGCAATCTTAGATTAGGAAGAAATTTTAGACACTCTTACTAGTTCCGTGTATTGGACATGTTGTCTGACACATCACTAATAGATGATCATTAAACCTCTCCATAAATAATTACACTTAGAAGGAAGTCACTGTCTCTTAGGCAACGCATTCCATTGCTGGACACCACACTTAGTCATAAGTATTTCTTTAGGACCTCCCATGTGTCTCAGTCCATGACAGGTGTTAGTCTATCTACATAAAGCTTTTAGTTAAAGGTGACATAGACAAGTCATCAAATAATGCAGAGTAGCACATGCTATTTTTAAAAAGAGTTTATTTTTTTTGAGAAAGAGAAAGCGAGCATGAGCAGGGGGAGGGGCAGACAGAGAGGGAGAAGGAGAAATGGGCTCCGTACTGAGTGTGGAGCCGGACACTGGCTAGATCTCAGGACCCTGAGATCATGACCCCAGCTGAAGTCAGATGCTCAACCTACTAAGCCACCTTGATGCCCCAGTGCATCGATACCCTCAATGCCCTATTTCTAGTTTATATTAAAAATTCTTATGTGTCAGGCACTTATTTTTGATTTTTTTACTGCAGTAAAATACACATTAACATGAAATTTACCATTTTAACCATTTTTAGTGTAAAATTCAGTGGCAGTTGCATTCACAGTATTGTAGAATTGTCATGACTGTTTGCATAAGTGACACCATTGTAAATGCTTGGAAAATATTAACTCATTTAAATCATAAACATCTTAAGAAACAGACACTATGATTATCTCTGTTTTACAGATGGAAAACTCAGAAAAAGAAGTCACATAATTTGTCTAAAGTCACCAGCTAGTATGAGGTAGAGCTAGTTTTTGAACCCAAGTGACTAAAATGGAAGTACAGAGAAAGAGCATGTGAAGGCATCTGGTTTGGTTTGTGTAGGAAGAGATTGGATTTGCTGAAAAGGTTCTGCAAATATTCAGTTCTTGAAATATATCACTGAATTGGTCCACGTCATGTACTTCATAAAGAAACTTTTAAAATGCATTACTTTGTAAAATATATTTATTTATTTTTAAAATATTTTATTTATTTATTCATGAGAGACACAGAGAGAGAGAAGCAGAGACACGGACAGAGGGAGAAGCAGGCTCCATGCTGGGAGCCTGACGTGGGACTTGATCCCGGGTCTCCAGGATCAGGCCCTGGGCTGAAGGCGGCGCTAAACCGCTGAGCCACCCGGGCTGCCCTTGTAAAATATATTTAAAAAAAATTTTTTTAAAGAAGCATGTAATATTTGATGATTATTTAATCATTGTTTAACTTTTTATGTATTAAATATGTCAGTACTGTAGGGCCCAAGAGCAGGCTGCCTCAAGATGTGCCACTTTGGCATGAAGACTATTTTGAGTTAAAAAACAATCAAAACCCAGCAGATTCAGGAACAACTCTTTACCTCCCCACAACTAGGAGGTATCTAAAAATAGTGTAGACAGAAGACTGCTCCAGGAAGAGAATTACTGCCATAGATTAGTAAGATTAGCACATTATACTAGAATTAGTTTTGATGGAGAGGGAGGGACGTAGCAAGGTCTCCTTGGTCAGAGTCTTCTATGTCCCATTGTTCCTGAAAGGGCCAGCAATCATTTATCAAACATTTACTCTTTTTCATTGTCCTGCGAATTGCATTCCTTCTCTTTGAGATCCCAGATTTCTGTCTCCTTCAGCTTAGTTCAGAATGACATATACACCTTATTTTGCTTGACTGTCTTTGGAATTTCCATATCTGTTTAGATTCCCCATACATGAAAAATTAAGTTTGTCTCCTCTTGAAAGACTATCCAGTGGGGAAAAAAACAGTCTCTTCAATAAATGGTGTTTGGAAAATTGGGCAGCCACGTGCAGAAGAATGAAGCTGGACCATTCTCTTACACCATATACAAAGATAAAGTCAAGGGGGATCCCCAGGTGGCTCAGCGGCCTAGCGCCTGCCTTTGGCCCAGGGCACAATCCTGGAGTCCCGGGATCGAGTCCCACGTCGGGCTCCTGGCATGGAGCCTGCTTCTCCCTCTGCCTGTGTGTCTCTGCCTCTCTCTTTCTCTCTCTCTCTCTGTGTCTATCATAAATAAATACATCTTTAAAAAAAAAAAGATAAAGTCAAAATGGGAGAAAGTCAAAATGTGAGACAAGAATCCATCAAAATCCTAGAGGAGACCACAGGCAACACCCTGTTTGAACTTGGCCACAGCAACTTCTTGCAAGATACATCCACGAAGGCAAGGGAAACAAAAGCAAAAATGAACTATTGGGACTTGATCAAGATAAAAAGCTTCTGCACAGCTAAAGAAACAGTCAACAAAACTCAAAGACAACCTACAGAATGGGAGAAGGTATTTGCAAATGACCAATCAGATAAAGGGCTAGTTTCCAAGATCTATAAAAGAACTTATCAAACTTAATGGCAAAGAAACAAACAATCCAATCATGAAATGGGCAAAAGACATGAAGAGAAATCTCACAGAGGAAGACATAGACGTGGCCAACAAGCACATGAGAAAATGCTCCGCATCACCAGCCATCAGGGAAATACAAATCCAAACCACCATGAGATACCACCTCACACCAGTGAGAATGGGGAAAATTAACAAGACGGGAAACAACAAATGTTGGAGAGGATGTGGAAAAAGGGAACCCTCTTGCACTGATGGTGGGAATGTGAACTGGTGCAGCCGCTCTGGAAAACTGTGTGGAGGTTCCTCAAAGAGTTAAAAATAGATCTGCCCTACAACCCAGCAGTTGCACTGCTGGGGATTTACCCCAAAGATACAGATGCAGGGAAACGCCGGGACACTTGCACCCCCATGTTTCTAGCAGCAATGTCCACAGCAGCTCCTGTGGAAGGAGCCTCAGTGTCCATCAACAGATGAATAAAGAAGATGTGGTCTATGTGTACAATGGAATATTCCTCAGCCATTAGAAACGACAAATACCCACCATTTGCTTTGACGTGGATGGAACTGGAGGGTATTATGCTGAGTGAAGTAAGT